ATAGTTAGCAAGTCACAAACTGTTCCTTCTTGTGTTCTAACTTTGAGTTACATCTATCACTGGGTAAGAAGAGCTTTATCTTAGGGCTGGCTTCTCAAGTGTACACTATATACAGTGTTAGGTGATTTTGACCACTAAAAGTTTCCAAATTATTCTTTACATCATTGTCCATCACAAACTAGTAAGGCGGTCCAATCTTCACCCATCACAGGCTACCAACAAAAAAGATTCAATTTGAGTGGGAGTATTTCACTAGCCATTGTGAAGATTATCATCTCATGAAAGCGTAGGTACTTTACTCCCTCCTAAAAGGGACGGAGCCCAGGTATAGAGTTCATGTAATGCAAATGCATGTGATAGTGTGTGTGAAGGAACATATAGGTTTCGTGCCCCAAAAAAATCAAATAAAAGTTAAAAAAAAAAAAGAAAAACGTTAGTAAACAAATAATTACAACTATTAGACCAAATGATAGGATAAACTTAAAAATTTATGGCTTGACTCTCTATGTCTATCCCGAGTAGAGTTGCCAAACTGTCATATCATATAAATCTGAAAATCTATAGCTAGACTTAACAAAATAGATAGAGTTACCACCAATCTTTTTTATCTATGTGTGATTGGCCACCTAAAGAATCTATCCTTTTAAAGAGCTCTTAAGCTCGACTAAGGATCCATAAACGAATAGGTTCAGGTCTACAAATCATAACAGGATTCGAGAGTTCAGTTACATGTGGGGAAGGTTATAGCACCCCCACATGCCCATCTGAATGATGATATTATATTATTTTAAATTCATCCTAGGGTTTCGGTTCTAATGGTTTTAAATTTTTATGTTGAAATATTAAAAATAATTTTTAATATTCTTCCATCAATCTGGTAGAATTTTCAAAAACATTCCCTCACCTCAAGAGTATTCAAGGATCTCATTTGTTTCCTTGAAAAGGCTCCGTAGTCGAAAAAATTTTATTTATTATTTTTTTGTCAAAAATATATCTAATTATTCCACCATTTGGGCCAATTAGAAATATCTTTCTTTTGAATTTCTAAATTTTTCACCATTTGGGCCTATTTAGAAATTCTCTTTATTTTTCTTTTTTTTGTTGGAAAGAAAATAATATTAAAATTTTTTTTATTGAAACTTCATCTAAATTATTCCACCATAGGGTACAAATTAAGATAAAATTTCTCACCTAGAGATTTCTTCGAAATTTACCATTTGAAATTTCTAAAAATCTCATCCTTGGATTATTTGTATTTAATTCCAAAATTTTTATATTTTTACATTTTTTATAATTTTTGTGTTTGAAAATAAATATTAATTATTGATATTGAAACTTTTATCTAAATTATTCCACTATTTGTGACAAATTTAGACAAAATTTCTCACCTATGAATTTTATAAAAATTTACCATTCGAAATTTTTATAAATTCCATCATTGGATAATTAATATTTATTCTCAAAATTTATTTTATTTTTACCTTTTCATTTTTATTTTTCTAAAATGTAATCATGCAAAAATACTCAAAAAAATAAATAAATAAAGTGAAAAAAAAACCCAAAACAAGAGACGACTTGGCTCTAATGGCTACAATGCGTGGCTTAGCTGCAGGAAGAAAAGCTGGAATGACTTAAAAAGTGGCTTTGCTTGGCTCGGCTTGAGACAAAGATTAGAAAAAGTCATCGGAATCTGAGAATTTTTCATATTTTTTTCAAAAAAAAAATTTAAAACTCTAAAAAAATCTTCGAAAAATTTTTTTGACTGCTTTTTTTGATTTCTACCTCTTTCCCTAATTTTTTTTTTGTGTTTCTCTAGCCTTATTTATAGGGCTTCAATTTGAAAGCCCTAAGCCAAATGGGATTTCCATCCTTTCTGATTTCTAACTCTAAACTCTAACTCAACTTAAACTCTTCAACTCAGTCATATCCAAACCCAATCACCTTTTTTCTTGTTTTTTCAATTTTTTCATTTTTAATTAAATTTTTTTAATTTTTTAACAAAAATCAAATATAGATTTCGGACATATTAAGGTGTCAACAATACTTGTACATAAAATAACATAGTTAAGTCAAGTTCGGTGATATTTCTATGTTTATTTTCTGCTAAGCCATTTTGTTTTGAAGTACCTAGACATGACATTTGATGATGTATTCCATGTTCCACTTAATAGTGTTTAAGGTCTTTGTTAGAAAATTCTCCACCACCATCAGATTGAAAATTTTTAATTTTCTTATCAAATTGATTAAAAATAAATTTATCAAAATCTATAAAGCACTTTAAAAAATCTATTAGTGCATCCATCAATAAAAATAACATAATAGTGAAAATTGTGAAAAGAGCTAACTGGGTCTGAGCCTCATAAATCACAATGAATTTTTACTAAAGGTTCATCAAAGAATTCATTAGAAATGAAGGCAGTCTACATGCTTTGGCCATTTGACAACTACAACATAAATGATCAATTTTATTATTAGAACTTTGAATCAATTTTTTTTTCTAAATGTTTAACTACTTGTAATTAGGGATGACCCAATCTTTAATGCCAAATCTCCACGTTCAAAATGCTGAACCGATTTGAATACGTAGCCATTCCATGTTTTGGTTGTAAGACATAAAGATCATTGCTTCTTATTTCAGTAGCAATTACTAACCCTATTTTCCTGTTTCTTATAACAAATCCACCATGTAAGAATTCAATATTACAAAGTAAATCACTTGTAAGTTGGCTATCATATACTAACTCTTTTTAATATCAGATACAACTAAAACATTATCAAGTTTTATCTCATTATTGCTTACATTTAAAGTAATGGATCCTAAATAAGTTATGCCAATAAATTTACCATTTCCAACCATTATTTTTTTAGGACCATAATACGGAACTATCAAATTAAGCTTACCAGGATCTGAGGTCATATGATTGATTGTGCCAGTGTTAGGAAACCAAGCATTGTTTGGATTTTCAATTATGGCTAGTGCTGCAAATTGCTGAGGAATCTATTCAGATTGATAAGAGTGATTGAATCTATGATAACATTCAAGGGCAGCGTGATTTGTTTTCTTGCATATTTGAGGGACCACACTTTCCTCTTTCTTTGATTTTCCATTTTGTGATGAATTTCCTTACAAATAAGATTGAGAATTTCCAAATTTATTTGGAAAATGACCTAAGTGAGTAAATCCACGTCCTCTAGCCGTGAACTGATTTGATGAGTGCTTCTTTTTGCGTGAAAAATTCCTTCCTCTCCCTCTTTGATGTTTAAACATAAAAGCCGTATTCTGATTTGCTCTAGTAACACTATCAAAGCTTATAGCTTTAGTAATTTCATGACTTTGGAGCTGGGAATCCAATTCAGTATAAGTTGGTCTGGCGGGTTTCAACATGATTGTGGCATATGATTCATATTTATGACCAAACCCGGTGAAAACAGAAAACAAATTATCTTTGTTCTTGATAGGTTTTTCTATAGTTGAAAATTTATCACAAATTTATTTAAATATTTGAATGTATTTAGCCTTAGTGTAACTGTTCTTATGATGATGGCGAAGTTTCTACTCTAAAGTGAACTCGGTCTGAGTGCTTTGAGCAAATATGTGTAAAAGAGCTCTCCAAACTTCTACGAATGTGTCAAGTCCAACAAAAATCCCAAGAGGTTCATTTGACAATGTACTAGTGATATAACCACGAAGAAGATGATCAGATTTTTGCCATGCTAGATATTTTGGATTCATAACCACATCCTTTACAATAGCAACTTCAGCTAGCAAACTTTCTATATATTATTGTGGCATAGGTAGAGTGCCATCAATAAATCCCAGCATATCTTGTGGCTCAAGGAGTCCCATGATTTGGGTTTTCCAAAGTAGGAAATTGTTTTGTTTTAGTTTGAGAGAAAAAAAATTCCAACATTAATGATGGAAGGATAGGGGTAGCTTATGCTTTGAGATTAAGCAGAGGAAGCTATGACTAATTTTCGAAAAATAAAAGGTTAAGAATTTTAAAGAATTAAAAGGTTTTCTCTGATACCATAAAATCTTTTGAGACTTTTGGTAAAAAAACCATTGAATGAGTGATTTGTTTTTCTTTGATAATTTTATTTATAATGATAATAAAGTATACAAGTTGATTAATATAAAAGAAAAACATATAAACACCAAAGATAATAGAATCAAATCTACCTAATCTCTAATAATTTTGTTATTTTACTAAAGTTTTGGAATTTAATTTGTATTTTAACCGTTGCTTGCAGGAAATTTGATTGCTTTATCCTCTTCTACAAGACTAGACCCAGGTTTAAAAACTTCAACAGATCAAGATTATTAACATCACTCCCTCGATTACTCCACCATGAATTATTTCTAGTCAATAGATTTTATGTATATTTTTAATCATGTTATATATTTATTTATTTTTAGCTTATTCATCCTATCGATTAAACTTTATACTATTAAATACAAATACAATACAACATATACTTTAAGTCGTTTTCCTCTCGATTCTTTCTTTTTAAAACTTATTTTATGGACCCATGAAGATCCAGTGAAGAATTTCCCTTCAATAGCAGCTCTCTTTCCATTTTAATCCTTTCTTTTTCTTTTTCTTTTTTTTTTTTTAATAATTACACTTCTGATCCCTTTTTTTTTTATTATTTTGTTTTACTTCTAAATTTTTTACTTAAAACTTTTTCAAATTATTTATTCTTTTTTAGTAGACCAAATTATTTATTTTTTTAACTTTAGCATTTTTGTTTTCTTTTTGTTAGTTTACTCTTCAATTTTTTATTTAAAAGTTTTCAAATTATTTAATTAATGTATTAAATGAATTTATATAATTATATAATAAATAAATAGTTAAACATTTGAATAAATGCATAAATTTAATATGTACTAATTTTTTATTGAATATAATTTTTAAGATTTTAAATGTTAAATAAAATTAAAATATTCATAAAAATAATTTAACAAGTCATTTTTAGATTAGTATGATTAGTTTTCATTTTTTTCAATGTAATCACTATTATTTTCTTGTCTAAATGCATATTTCACAATTAATTTTAATCTCATTGCTGCAACTCCAATTTTACCATTTTAATAAATAATCTTGCTGCTATCTATGTTTTTACTCTCATGACATCATTCTTAATGTCCATCCAAAAAAACTCTTAATATATAAATAAATACTCATTGTTAATTGTCATTTAGTTTCAATTTTTATTTTATTTTATTTTATTTTAGTAATTTTGAACTGACTAGCATAGTTCATGATTGCTATATTCAAGCCAACAGTGACTATAAGCAGTATATTTGAAGAGAAAATGTTGTTAAAACGGGATTCATACCATCCAAAAATTTAACGAAGAAGCTTCATGGCATCTAAATTGATTGTCTAGAGACGCATATGAACATGTTTATGTTTATACGAATTGTCACTAATGCATTCTTCAAACTCAAATGAAATCTTCCCTTCCTTCATCTGTTTCACCAATCATGAGACGGTTAGAGCTTCATATGAAGATGATCAGGATATGTTTCATGAAAATTTTTAACCTCTTTGAACTTGTATGGATACTTCCCTTCTTTTTCCAACTCAGGTACTTTAACCAGACGCCGCAAACAAGCCCCCTTAGACTTGGCTAGGATCACTGGTCTCAGTCTGAATAAAGGTCTAAGCCTCTTTGCAAAGAAAATCTCCTTGCTCTCATTTGCAAATCCTTCTAATTTCAGGAGCTCAAGATCTTCAAGTTTTTCCAGTCTATTGACTTTAGCTGGTAACTTTTTTGTGCTTCTCATGTTATAGCTTTCAGGATCAATCTGCAAGTTTGATGAAGAGCAGTATCAAAATTGTCAATTAATTGTTACATTTTTCTGAGTTGCTACCATGAGAAGCATTCAATTTTTAACCAAATAGAAGTACAATTCATTCTCCCTCTATCAGCTTTTTTTTTTTTCCCAGCACTCTACTTAATATCATGAAAATGGAACGACTTACAGTGACATAAATCCTTTCCAGACCAGGACAGAGTTTAAGAAAGCAGAGTAGGGCATTAACATTGTCTCTCTCCATTGAACAATCAAGCCACCACAGCTCTCTCAGCCTGTAGAGACAAAAGCCAGAGTCTCTACCTAAAGATGGTAGCATGTAGGAGATTAATGGCTGCAGAAGTTAGAACAAAATAAAAGTTTGAGTAATGAATGTTAAGGAGTCCAGAAGCCTAAAAAAAATATTTTTTGAGAGTGGATAGATCTGGAACATACCTCAAAAACCCATCTACAAAATGTTAGAGATTCAACACCTTTAATGCTGTCAAGGATTGACTTGAGGCTATCACAATTGATGCTATTGTAGATAGGAGGGCCTTGTCTGAAATCAAGCATGGCATCATAAAGAGAGATTTTGAGGGCAGACAGACCAGACCGCAAGCGCAATAAAGGACGATAATTATTAGGGGCTTTAAACTCATAAGGTACTAATCTGCCTCGATAATGCAAAGACGTTAAAGAGGAAGCCTCAAAACTGAGAGATTCTAATTGGGGGCAGTCCAAGACAACTAACTTGTGAAGCCTTCTAGCCTCTTTTATTTGTAAAGATCGTAATCCATTGCATTTGGCGACAGTCAAACTTTGGAGAAAAGGGAAATTCGACACCATAGAAGAAACTGCCTCAATATAAGGATAGCTTACTGATACTAGGTACAAAGATTTTACTTTGATTTCATTAAAAGATGGTTGTTGGGTATGCAATGGGTGATTCGATGAAAGATTCAGCTTCAACAACCAATCAAATGGCCTTGCATATTCTTGTTTACCAGCAGAGAAATCAAGCGAAAGTGTATTATTAGGCGCAATAGCACCTAAAACGACTATACCATGGCCAAACTCGAATCTGAACCCCCAGTTATTTCTTGGTATATGGTGTACAATAAAATCATGAAGAAAGCTCGATATAGCAGTAATAGCATCTTCAATTGTTACACCACGAACCGAAGTCAACAAAGCCCCTTTCCAGAGATCTTTCCAGTAAGTAGAAAGAAACGTGGTTCGTACAGCGGATTCAAAAGGGAGCAAGGAAATGATATGGTAAAGGATGTCGTTAGGCAAACGACTGAAGAAATCATTAGGATCCATATTACTGTTCAAAAAACAATATTTGATCATGTCAAAATTAGTTCTGATCATAACAAATAATAAGATCCAATATATATATACAGAGCTTCTCACTTGGCAGTGTTCCTGGTGATATTATCAGGATTATGCTCTTTCTCTTGATGCTTCGATTTATGGAGTAAGGGAATAATTTGGTGAAGAATATCATTATGCAAAGTACTGATAAAATCATCTATATTCAAATCCCTGTTCAAATACAAAAATATATTGGTCTAAAAGGACTTTCCTTTTCCAATTGTTGCAGGATTGAACCAATAGTTAAAATTCAGAAGAAAAATACTTAAGTTCTTACCTTGAACTTTTTCTTCGGTTATCATCTGGATCCTGCCGCTGTTTCTTCTCATTATTCTTCTTGATCCTTCTCTTCTTTCCCATTTTCTCTTCAATGTGTTTCAGGTCGTGGTTTGACTATTAATAATCTATACAGTGGGAAATTACTCTAAGCTTTCTTGCAAAGGAGGACTTGAACTGTTGCACAGGACGACGTCGTTTAAAAATTGCATAGTGGAGCTCGCCTTTTCTAGGAATTAACTGTGAGACTGCAAGTGAAAGTGACGTAGAACTTTTATATTAAGACAATCAACAAATAAGCTGAAATTGTAATCTAAAATCTCAATAACATTCAAGAAATAATCTGAAATATCTCAAAAATGCATTAAATCCAAAGCTGCTATAGACTAAAATAATAAAGTTTATATTTGATATATTATCAGTGTATAAATTTTATATATTATCAATAAGTAAAATAATATTATCTTATTGATGAATAAATATCAATATTTAAAATAAATATAAAAAAAATTAATTTTTTAAAAAAATTAATTTATTAATAAAATATCATCATTTAATTCACATTATTAATGAAATAATATCATCTAATTCACTTATAATATATAAAATTTATATACTAATAATATATCAAATATAAATCCAAAATAATATTGATAAGAAAGAGAAAAGTTCTCTAAATCCTCAAAAGAGATTTCAAAATACTGCAAACCATACTTTCATATGCAAACAGAATTTTTTGTTATATAAATATTAAATAGATATATGTCAATGGACAACATTTCAATTCCATCTGCCCCAACGGGACTTCAGCATATACACTACTTCGTGGTTCACTTGCCTTCTATGTTATGTTTTTCTGAATTTTTTTTTTTTAAGGATGAAACAATAAAAAAAATTTTCAAAAGTTAATAAAAAAATAAACTTGATAATTTTAAATACAATATCATGATACAAAAATAATATTAAAAAAAAATTGTGAATAAGTTTAATGTAATCATATTTCACATCGATACAATTAAAACTTAACATTATTCGTGTCGTGTTCGTATTAGATAATGATGACCCATATTCGTATCAAATAATGATGACACGTTTAAAACACGATACTTCTCATACAAACATATATAACATATAAACTATAAAAATTATTTTAATTTATTTTTAAATAAATTAATAATTATATTTATCGTATCATTTCGATGTTTAAAAAAATTATAAATATTTAATTTTTAAATATTTTTATTTAAATACTAATTTAAATAATTTTTGTTTAAATAAATAAATTAATCATATCTAATCGTGTTATGTCTTGTCGTATTACTCATGTTGTGTTAAACAAATTAATTTTAAACGTATTAATCTTGCCATGTCACGTGTAACACATATAATAAATATGTCATATTTATCTTTAAATTATTCGTGTCATTTAAATATTTGTATCATATTCGTATCAAAATTATACGTATGATGTTTGAAATTATGTCTGACACAAAACAAAACACATGACACGAATTGCCGGATCTAATAAAAGGACTTAATTATGGGATGCAAAACAAATAACAATAGTTTTCTTTTATTGGTTACCCTATTAGAAAATTTTAAACAAAAAAAAGAAAGTAGCAAAGTCCCTTTACTCAAAAGGAAATTGAATTTTATTATACCTATTTATTCAATTAACAAGGTCAATTTTTATGACCTCGTAGCCAACACATGCCCAACAGCCACATCACCATAAGTGAGGGTCGAAATTCAAACTTCTCACAATAAAACAAACTTGTCCTTCACCAAAGAAAGACTTGTCTAACACCTCCACTAATGTCCCATTAAGGCATCACTTTAAAACAGCACAATCGACCTCCAACTTGCTTAAGATCATTAAATGCAACCCATACTTATATGGAATCATTAAAATAACCTCCAATCACCCACATAACCCCTCTTTGAACTTCATGTAGACTCATTATCAATTGTCAACTGTCCTAATCATGTTGCTACCCTTCGTCTCATATATAAGGTAAAAATATGGCCCAAGTATGTATGAACTAAGTATCCTTCTTCTTGAAGCTTCCTCAGTATTCACTATTTATCTTCTTCTTCACTAAACCTTTGAACACTTCAATAACTTGCACGTCGAAACGTCTCCTAGATAGCCAACTTCAACACCTCTTAACCATGCTTTCTTGCTGCAAGTTCCAGTTTCCCTCCACATAACTTATAGACTACGTCCTTTGAGCTAATACCTAAAAACACCATCAATAATTTGTGCCTATAGACACTTCATTTGATATGAGATTTTTTCATATTAATGGGTCTCAAATTTTATTTTGAAAATTGGGTTCAAAATTATTTGATTGGGCTTTAATTATGAAATTGAATTTTAAGCCAAAATAAAATGGCTTAACACTTTTATTTTTTTTCTTCTTCTTATTATTTTTTTAGGTCAAAATCAAGGTCAATAGTAGGATCGGGTTTGGATTTGGATTCTTGAGAATGTGAAAATTGGAAAGTTTTGAATTTGAGAATCAAGAATAGCTTATTGGTATTGTGAGAGAATTTGGAAATTTTTGGAAAAAACTTAGGACCGAATAAAAATCAGAATCGAAATTTGTTTGCATATTTGATTTCTCAAATATTCTCATTGATTTAGTATACAAAAGTTAGCTATTAAGCCCTAATATAAAGGAAGAAGAACACAAATGGGGGAAGGACAAAAAATCCAAGTAATCAAAGGCTAGGTGAGCATTACCCAAAATTAGAGGCAATAACAAGCAGGCAAGGAGGCAACATCAAACAAAAGGATCCAAAAGGGGGAAATTATGGGGCAATAAATTTTGAAGTATTTAGGTTTAATTTTTATAGGATTTTGTGTCTAGGTTTCCTACACCAAAGTAAGCAAAGAGAATGTCAAGCAGAACATATTAAAGCAATTTTATAACGCACAACTCCAATAACTAGCCTCCAAACAAAAAAGCTACCAAACCCATCGAAAAACCTAGAAACAACGATAGGCGAGCCACAAGCAAAAACAGAGAGCTTCAACAAGCAAAAACAGAGCTAACAACCGAACCAAACAAGATACAACCCAGAAGTAGTTCCCAACAAAGCCCTATTTCCTGTAGCAAGAATCAAGACGGGACACTAATCAACTCCAAGAAACAACAACATAGACATTTAACAATATATAGTAATCACATGATTAAAACATTGATTTTTTAGGTTTAGAGCTAGAAGTCCAGAAATTTGTTTAGGGCTTTTTGTTGAAACCTTACGAAGAAAATGAGAAGGAAGAAGGCTGGCTGTGGTTGAGTGATGATGAAATTCATTAACGTCTGCGTTGCTATTCGGTTTTCAGTTCAAAGTTTAGAAATTTAAAAAGATGTGGCTGAGGTTTCAGGTATCTAGGACAGAAAAAGAAGAGGTTAAAAAGATTCGAAAAAGAAGAGGTTTCTAGAATAGATGAGATGACTAGTGGTGGTGGTGACGGTAATAGCTACTAGGATATGGGTTTAGTGTTTCGCTGGTTCTTGGCAGGTTTGAATAATTCTAGAAAGAATGGAGAGGGTAGATTTTGTAGAGAAAGAGAGTAGCAGTAAGAAATAGGGGGAAAATAATGAATTTTGGTTTTTAAATCAAAGATAAAACGGCACCGTTTGGAAAGAAGAAGTCCAATCTGCATCTACCCAAATTTGACCTACAGACTCGTTTGAAATCCATTTTCCAACTGACTTATTTGGTTGTTGACTTTCGATGACTAGGCTTTTTTTTTTTTTGCTTTTATGATATTTTTGCATATTTTTATAAAATTTTTACATGATTATTATTGTATGATATATTTATGACATTATGATGATTTTTTTAAATATTTTTGTATGAAATTATTTTGTAAATGAATAAAAAAATTAAAATTTAATTTTCATAAAATATTTAATAAATCTAACGACGGAACTTCTTCAAATAAACGAGTTTATCTTAAATATTTTTTAAGTGAGAAAATTTTCTTTTTTGGTGAAAACCTAAAGACTTTTTTTTAATATTTAAATATCAAAATTAATAAAAATAAGTAATAAAGATCATTTTAACTGCAGCTTAGATAAGATAACATAAGACTAGTTTGTACCAATTTTGAGCATTGTGGGGATGTTAAAATCTTATTTATATGTAATCGACTCCTAAATTTAATTATGCTGATATAGACTAGAACATATTCTTTTTACAGACCCTTTATCAAGGTTATGATAACCTTGAAAACGATAGATTTACATAAATGATCACTCACACCTAAATAAAAAAAGATTGGTGGTGACTTCATATTTTTGTATCTAATGAGTAGGTTCTTTGACACCACGATACAACTCCATTTTCCCATTTCCTAGCAACCTAGTGTTGTTGAATTCCTAAACCACGTAGCCATGGATTATTACCAAAATTTAATAGGAGTTTTATCTCCAAACATGACCCTAACCCCCTATTGGTCCACACCACTACTGCTAGACCTTCAAACCCAACCTCCATGCCACCCTCTATGCAAGTCCAGTTTTCACAACGAATTAATGCAATTCATTGGCAAAATATTCCTCCTGCCACATCCATTGTACAAGTTACACTCGCAGTTCCACAAATCCCCAAATACCAAACAAACATTCAACAATCTCCATCAAAGTTTTACCATGCTTTAATGACCCAAATCTAACTCTTAAATGTTCAAGTAGCTACCAACAAATATTACTCCAACAATAATAGCAAGCCACCTAGCAACCTTACAAAAAAGACCATACCTAAAAGAAAGCTCTACCTCTTCCTTTCGAGAACCACCCCAAGTCTTCCCCAGCATGATAAAAGTTCCCTTCAACCATCCAAGACAACATTTACCTCACCAAACCCATAACACAAAACCAAACTCCCACTAACCTCAACTGGGAACGTGAGCTAGCAAGGTAGGTGGCTACCCTATAAAAGGAACTAGTTGATATCAAGAAGGAAAAGAACATGGATCTACAATGGTTAGAAGATGGGCACAACCCCGTAACCACTTTCATCAGACAAGCTGGCATTTCCACCTAACTTAAACTTCCCCAAGAATCCTACAATGAAACCATTGACCTAAAGGACCATTTTGACTATTTCAAGACCTTCATAGACCTTTACAATGCCTCATATGCAGTTAAATGCAAAACATTTCCAACAACTTTACAAGACAAAGCCTGTACATGGTTCTATTCATTGGCCTTAGCAACCATTGATAACTTTGACACTCAATAG